CACAGCTTCCATAGAGGCACCCTAAGCCATTACAAGTTAGGGAGAGAGAGGAGCTCTGCATCCTAGCCTTGTGGATGGCTTGTGGCACATCCATCTAGGGGTAGCTGCTGACCCATAGGTATTCTGGACATTGATACAAGTGGAAAGGCAGCTTCCATATTTCAGAAGTGGTTTTTTTTTTTTTTTGTTTTGTTTTTTTTTTTTTTGCTCCGAATGCCTTCAAGGCATGACTGGCTGGCTTGTGTTGTGGGGATAGAACCACAGCAACCTGAGCCTGACTGCTTTGTTGAAGCAGCCACTTAAAGAACTGAGCTAAGGGGCAGGCCCCCACTTCCATATTTCAGAATCCATTTAATTTCCCAGTGGAGGGGCTTCTGCCTGACCTTCAGGGGAAATGATTAATCTGTAACTTAATGATTTGATGCAGAACAAATACCAAGAGAATTCCATAATATCCAACAAGTGCACACAATGTGATAACTCCACATTATATCCCTCAGACAGATGTCAGCACTTCTGTGTGGAAAAAAATTGTCAAAGTTGATGCGTGTAAAATTTCGGAACGGATGAACACTCACACGTCCAACCAGTTTCAGTAGGCAACATTAACTTCTAACTCCAGCTGGGCACATGTTGTCCCTCATCATATCATTCAACTTGTTCTAACCAACTAGCTTTCATTACCATTGCTATATTTTGAACTTAATCAATAGCAAATTGTGGGTATTTTTCTGCGCTGTCACCAAGCTTCTGTGAAAAATCTCAAGTCTGGGGCCGGGGGGGATGGCTCAGTGGAATAAGCGCTTCCCTGGCAAGTGCAAGGGTCTGAGTTCAATCCCTGGCTCCACAAAAAAAAAAAAAAAAAACTTTACTAGGGCTGGGGAGATGGCTCAGTAGAATAAATGCTTGCCTGGCAAGCACAAGGGCCTGAGTTCAATCCCCAGTTCTGCCAAAACAAAAAACAAAATCTCAAGTCTGCCTGCTGGCTGCAAGGTTAGCTGCTCAGGTCTTTGCCTTTGTAGGAAGTGCTGTGGCCTAGGCTAGAATCCCACCATATTCTGGCTGAGTCACTAAACTTAGGTTTGCTCTTGATCCCTGGAGCTCACCACCACACAGATGCTTGTCATAGCCTGTGGACACCTCCCTCAGGATGGCCCAGTGGGCTGAACAGTTTATCAGGAGTGGTGTGTGATCTCAGATACCTTTCTGCATCTGTCTAAATGGTTGTATGGATCTCATGAATGGTTGTGTGGATCTCACAGTTGCTCCACTGAGCTATATTTCCAGCCCTATTTTTTTAAAAATTCAGTTTGAGACAAGAATCTCTGTAAATTGCCAAGCCCACACTTGTCTCCACCTGCCTCAGGTTTCTGTGTAGCTGGGATTACAGCTATATAGTAGCTACATCATAATGGGCCTGCACCACTGACTCATGCTTTCGGTTTTCTAGTGCAGGCACTAGTGGCAAACCTATGGCGTGTGTGCCACAGCTGACTTATTACCATTAAACACTGAAAGGTTTGCTGTTACTGTTGTAGGACGTCACTGGTGAATCTGTGTTGCAGTCTCTTGTAGCAGCATATCAAAAGAAATGCCTCTGGGCAGCAAGTACACCCCATGCTGTTCACTGCCAATAGCTGCAGGGTTCTGTTGCTGAATAACTCATGCTTGGGTGACACCTGTGCTGGTTTTACCTCACCAGTGCACTCTGGTAGCAGCAAGTACAGCAAGACTAGAAAGGCTGAGTGAGGAGCCACTGCTGTGGCAGCTGTGCCCACCAGGCACCTGCTCTCAGACACGTAACATTTCAATTTTTTCTAATTTTTCAATGTATCCTAGTTACATTTTTCTCATTGTTGAGTCAAAATAACTGACACCTAAAGTTAAAGTGGGAAATTTTATTTAGCTCAGTTTGTGGAGATTTCAGTCTGTAGTTGAGTGGCTCTCAGACAGGGTGGCTGTATGGAGGAGAAATAGTTTATGGGGGCAGAAGGTAGCAAAGCAAGAAGGGTTGACTGTAGCTCTGTCTTACTCTTCTCTCGTTGCTGGGACAAATACAAATTGAAGAAAGGAAAGGTTTATTTAGCTCACGGTTACTGGAGGTTTCAGTCCATACTCAGCTGGGTCCAAGGCAGAGCAGCACCCAGCAGAAAGCAACTTTTCATGGTGGTGGCAAAGAACAAGAAAGCAAAAAGAAAGAGTTGCAGCAGCTCAAGTAGCTAACTTCTCTTCCCTCCTTACATTGTAATGCAAATTACCTGCCCCACGGCAGGTGCAGCATCCACACCCACAATAATCAAACATGAACTCTGGAGGCCACCCCATGACTACATGAAGCTTTGGGGGACACCTATTCACAAACCATAACAAGCTCTTTCTAGCCCTTATGTTTTATCTAGGCTACTTAGGGTAGTTAGCACTCACACCCTTAATTCTAGTGCCCTTGAGCGTAGCATTGCACCATGAGTCAATTACAGCATCACATACTAGAGATCCAGCTCCTAAAAAGCCCTACCTATGACCACATGAGCTTTGGGGAGACATTTAAATGCAAGCTATAACACAGTATTTACCTGAATATTTTTGGGATTACTAGCAGAATCCCCCCCCCCCCCCCCCCCCCCACGGGTGTAAATTTCCTCCCCGGCCCCCCGCGCGAGCCACCTAAAAAAAAAAAAATTTTTTTTTTTTTTTTTTTTGGTGGAACTGGGGATTGAACTCAGGGCCTTGTGCTTTGCCAGGCAAGCACTTATTTTTCTGAGCTATCTCCCTGGCCCCAAGAATTTTTGTGTCAGATCCACAGTATTTTAGATGTAACATCAAAAATGGCAAGTTAATGTTTCTGCACTTTTACGTACCTGACATAGAATGTTGTAATTTTGGCAGTCTTCATGCAAAAATTGGTAAAAAGTAAAGAAGTGGGCACTAAACAAGGTGTCAGCACTGAGAATTCTGCCTGCAGTGGTCCTTTCTGAGGCCCTTCCAGCCAGCCTCCTGCTTTCCTGCAGAGCTGCTTGCTATGCAGTATGTACCAGAGCACTTTTCTTTTGTATAAGCTCTCACTGTGGAGCTCGAACTCTAGTGATCCTCCTGTTTTCAGCCTCCCCAGTGCTGGGATATAGGCATGTGCCACCATGCCCAATCTCAGTGGCTGGCTCAGTGCACCCAGGGGCAGGGCTGGTATAGCATGTGGTGCCGGGGATTCCGGACCCTGCGCTTACCTAAGCAGACACTTAGTTTCCTGAGCTATCTTGCTGGCCCTCCCTTTGCTGTCTTTTCAGAGCCTGTGCACAGCTCTCCTTCCAGAGGATGACCCCCTTTCATGTCATTCATGGCCTTATACCCTTGTTCCTACACTGCCTTTGTGTAGGACTGTACATAGGTTCTCTTGGGACTGTGGCCTGTAGGAGAAAACAAATATGTAGATTAAAAGTTTAATGAAGCAGGACATGGTAGTGCATGCAGGTACATAGTCCTAACTACTCAGAAAGCTGAGGTAGGATCACAAGTTTGAGGCCAGCCTAGACAATTCAGATACTCTCTCAGAATAAAATTTTAAAACACAGTTGGGGGTATAGCTCATGGTAGAGTGCCCCACTTGGGTTCAATCCCCCAGTATCACGTACGTACACACAAGGAAACTTAATGAAACATTTGTTAGTCACCTATGCATGAATTTTCACAGAGCAGTTTATAGGTGAGTGGTTTGAGTAGTTATTATAAATTTGGCACTTGAGTATCCCAAGTAGTAGCCAGTGTCTTTTGCTCCATCAAAGTTACATGGATAGAACAATTCCTAAATGTTGAAGTTTGGTGTGATGGTGCATGCCTGTAATCCCAGAATTGAGGGAGGCTGAGACAAGATTGTAAAATTGGGCCTCACCTAGGCAATTTAGTAACTTAGCAAGACCCTGTTTAAGAGGAAAAAAAAAGAAAAAAACAAAACAAAAAACGGGCTAAGGATGTAGCTCAGTGGAAAGCCCCTTGGTTCAGTGCTCAGTCCAACAAAAACTAAATAAATAAATTATTTTTACAAGAATAATAATTTTTAAAAAATCAGTAGCTGTTTTTGTCTCTCAAAATCCATCCTTCCCTGGGGTCTGCAGGATGCCAGCCTGGCCCTGCAGTCAAGCCCAGAGCTCAGTTAATGCCTGTGCTTGGAAGCCCCTATGGTCTAGCTGGCAGGGCCACATGCTGGCCACCTCAGGAGTGGCCAAGGTGCCCTAAAAGCGTGCTAATGGAGACAAAAGAGAGATGGACAGATTTCACAGGAAATTCTGTCTGCTTCCTCCCTCTTATGCTATGACTGTGGGCGGTAGACACCAAGGAGCACTGTTAACCCAGTCCTGGTAGACATAGACATCATCTTGTCCACTGCACAGGTAGGTTGCAAGCACACACCAGCCTGGCTCACAGGCACAGGGTTGTGGAGTGAGATAGCTACTGGAGATTCCCCAGTAGACCAGTGTTGGAAAGCTCAGAGCTGTTGCCTGTCACAGCTGCAGAGATGGTGGGGAACGAGGCAGCAAATCTAGATTGTTAGACTGCACTGGCAAGGCACCTGAGTCCTCCAGCAGCCACCTGTTCTCTGCAGTGATATCTGAGGGTCTGTGACATACATGGGCAAGGAGGTTGCTATCATAGTCCTAGGAGGGCCCTCAGCAGGTCCAGAGCCTGCCCTTCCACTCTAGGTGCTCACATTGAGTATTAGCATCTCATCTCAGTCTTCCTGCAAGCCTGTGTGTGGACACTTGAGCACCACGTTGGACCCAACGGCTTACATTGCACTTTTTATACTAGCAGCAGTCCTTGAATTTCATAATCCAAACCTACAGCCTCATTTACGTGATGTTCACAAAGAGTTTTACTACAATTCCTTGTCTGCTGAAAATGAAAGTCAAAACATTTTTTTAAAGTGTATGTTCGCAGTACACAGTGACTACATTCATCATAGGGAGTTGGTACTTGTATTTAACACATTATCTGTTAATTTTTAATAGCGGAAATGAGGAAACAGAGGGAGTTCTATCACAAGTTGGGCATGGAGGTGCCAGGCGACATCAAGGGGGAGGCGTGCTCTGCAAAACAGCACTTGGATCCCCGGAATGGTGAGTGGCCCACAATGCTGCATGAATTACAGCAGCAGGCTTACCATAGGCTCTCATAGGCTCACATTTAGGTGGTTTCACCAGAAAGTGACAAACCCGTGGTTGGGAGAGGGTTTTTTTCTTCATCATGGTGCACACCCAGGAGTGTAATATGGAAAACAAGAGGTCACAGGAAGTTCTTGGAGGTCAGGTGGAGGGCAGAGGGCAGGGAACGTAGCACCTGTGGGAGAAGTAGTGGAAGGTAGGCAGGTAAGGTTTTAACTCTGCTTACTTTATTATTATATGGCAAAATAATGATTTGCTTTTGGCATAAAGTTAATTTAAGACATATATATTATAAATCATTCAAATCTTTGAGGTTTGGTGCTGTCATACAAGTTCCTAAAAAACCACACAAGTTTTTCTAGTGGAACCACATGAGTTCCTAAGAAATTTAGACCATGTCAGATCTGGCACGTGCCTTTAATCCCATCACTCATAAAACTGAGGCAGGATCACAAATTTGAGTACCACCCAGATAATTTAACAAGACTCTCTCACCAAGATGAAGAAATAAATTTACGCAAAGAAATAGGGCTGGGATATAGTTTAGTGCAAAGACCCTAGGATCAGTCCCTAGAACCACACACACACAAAAATATCTTGTTAGGAATGTAGCTCAGGGCTGGCGAGATGGCTCAGTGGTCTAAAGCACTGCTTGGAACAAGCTTGACAAAGCACAGGGACTGTGGTTCAATCCCCCAGCACCACATGCCAGCCAGCCCCGCCCCCTGGTGGGCTGAGCTGGCCACACACACACACACACACAAAATAAATAAATAAATGTTTTTTTTTAAAAAAAAGGAATGTAGCTCAGTTGTAGATTGCTTGCCTAGCATACATGAAGCCCTGGGTTTAATCCCCCCATACCACAAGGAAAAAAAAAAGATCTTTAGATTTCCTTAATAGTCTGAGAAGATGAGAGCAGACCCTCTACCACTGGGAGAGTCAGCTGCCAGGTCTTGGAGAAAGCCAGGCCAGGCTGCAGGACCATTGGGTGATGTCTAGGGATTTGAGAATCTGGTCTTGACTGCTGTTAGTGTAGTAGTAAGGCTGCAGGAGTCCAGTGTCCCAGGGAGGGGACAAGCATCGCATGGTTCTCAGAGCTCATTGCTTCTTTCACTAGTGCCAGTACTTTGATGTCCCCCACACATCCACTCACAGGCCTACCTTTCCCAGGTTAGCCTCAGGGAACCCTGCTCTGTGGAGAAATGTGGTGTGTGAGAGACTTGTGGCATGGCTCTGACACTCAGCAGGCTTCTCATGACCATTCTTGGGAGAGTGAATGTCGATGCATTTAAAGTGTGCTAGTTTCTTAAATAGTGTAATATTTTAGGCTACATAATATAGGCTGCGTATCCCTGTCCAGACTGTCTGGGGACAGGTCTGGGCATGAATTCGTTTGTGTTTCATATATGTGTTTTACATTCCCTGAAGATACATTTACACAGTATTTTTAGTGTACATGTGTTGGACTATAGCCAGTCACATATAATCATTAGTTTATCTACTTTTGTACTGCCAGTTGTGGACGTTTCTCCTTATAACTCAAAATGTTTTAGATTTTGGAGCACTTAGGATTTTGGATTAGGGACGCTCAACCTATTCCCTGTATTCTGTTCATTATGCTAAAAGGTGAAACCAAAGCAGATGACAGTTCAAGCAAAGAGACAGCAGAAGAGAGACAAGAAGAAGACAATGACTACCACAGGAGTGATGAGCAGGTGGGTCCTCCGCATTCACATCCCAGAGCTGTTCTGCATGCTTACAGCACTGTTTCAAGAAAACCAAAGATGAAATGTCCTATAGCTTTTTTCCTCTGAGCTCCTCACTTTATCTTTCTTTAAATTATCAAAGTGCTGGGCCAACGAGGTAGCTCCGTGAACTAAGCGCCTGCTTAGGCAAGCTCAGGGACCAAGATTTGATCCCCAGTACCACGTGCCACACCAGCACTGCCCCCAGGTGTGCTGAGCCAGCCACCCAGACTGGGCGTGGTGGTGCATGCCTGTAATCCCAGTGCTGGGGAGGCTGAAAACAGAAGGATCACTCACTATGAGTCCTAGCTGCATAGTACAACCCTGTACCAAATAACATTTAAAAAAAAAAGTGCTAAGCACTGACTGAAACACTTCAAATATAAAAAATTACAGACCAACTCAGGCTCATTTTCTTCAGCCTAGCTATAGGTTTTCATTGTTAAAAACTTAGTCCTTTGTTGGGAGCTTTCCTGTACATGTACAAACTTCAGGAAAGCAGTGGACCCCAGCAGCACAGTGAAAAGAAGTAATCACATAATGCTGAGGACTGTTCATGCCTGGTATACTACATTACTAGGTGAATAAGGAAATAAGACCCACACAGATGCACTGTGGAGGGAGTTCATGAAATTCCATGCTCCTGTCTATAAAACTCCCTAAAGCAGAATCATTGTCTCATTAAAATAAGGAATAAGAAAATGACCTAAGCAGCATGAGTTTGGAGGATTTAGCCCATGTTGTGGGAAAACAAAAACGAGTCACACATGAGAGCAAAAGTTGCTGTTATTCTCAGGTAATGTTGTCTTACATAGAGCTTGAGATAGTGAGCTGAAAATGATTGAGGCTCATTTTGCCCTCTTGGTGATGAGATCAACCGATGAGGATTGGTAGATATGAGCAGTAGGTGGGGATCTGTGTCAGGAGTTTGCTGAATGTCCCTGGGAGAAAGGCTCGTATGAAATTCTGATCCCCTTGAGCTGGCCTCATGGCGTGGTCCTTGCAGATGGCTAGAAGTTACCTCACAGAAAGTGGATGTAGAGAACAGTGTGAGAGCTCTGCAGAAAATAGGACTGGGCTTGGTCATTTCAGAAGATGTAGTAACCACAGCAATGTTTGGGGCCAGAATAGCCAAATCTTTTAGTTTATCTACTTTTGCACTGCCAGCAACACTTGGACTCAAAGAAACAGGACAGGTCTGTGCACATGTGGGAGCTGATGATGGGGCCTAGCTTGCCAGTGAGAGGGCAGCTCTGACTGACCTACAGACAGCAAGAGCAAAGGTCACCTTGAACTGTTTCTGAGTTTAGGTGACAGAGGTATTATCTGTGGGTGAGTTGGAGGACCCCACAAATGATAGTCAAATGGGGACCCTGCCCTGCTGGCCTCTCTAGAGGTGATACTCCTGCAAGATTTGTTCAGCCTGTTTTTTGTTTTTGTTCCTGCAAGGGTTTTTGTTTGTTTTTGTTTTGTTTTGTTTGAGGGGGGTGTTCTATTAGAAATTGAACTCAGGAGCTTGCACTTGGCCACGCAGGCACTGGTGCCGCTGGCCTGTCCTCCAGCCCGAGGAGTGGTGGCATTCCTCATCTGTGCTCCAACTCTGGCACAACCTGGGGCCTTGGGGTCAGTCTTGCCAGAGGCCCACCTTCATCTCCTGGTGTAGTTTTCTGTGGATGGGTATAGAACTATACATAGTATTCTCCTCTACTTAATCTTTGTTTTTGTAGTTTAAAATTCTTCCATTGCAGGCTAGGGAGATAGCTTGGGCATGAACACCTGCCTGGCAAGTGTAAGGTCCTGAGTTCGATCCTGGTACCACAAAAAATAAATAAAAAGTAAATAAACAGATTATTCCATTGCTGACTGTTGCTGATTTTTGTCTCTTTGAATCCCAACATTCCAAAAGTTCCTTTTTTGTTAGTTGTTTTAACTTCATCAAGAACTTGATTTCTTTTTTTTTTTTAAGTACTTGATTTCTTAAAGCACATATGAGGGGTTTTTGCCTTTTTGAAGCTAACTCCTTTCCTTGTGTGTTCACTGTCTCTTCATACATTTACGGCTGTGTGTTTCCCTAGTTGCCTCCCTCCTAGCTATGTCTCCAGGCACTGATGATTGGTGTTCTGTGTCCTTCATTTCTCAGCAGCTCTAGTGCCATCACCGTGCCCTTTTGAACTAGATAGCCCAGTGATCAGCCTGTTCAGCTGCCAGTTTGCTGGTCCTTTCTTGTCCTTCTCTGGTCGAAGTCATTATATGCTGACCTTTGCTGGGGGGGCTGAGTTCTTTCTTATGTTCACTGGCTCAGACAGGCTGGGGTCCAGCTGTTCTTCCTGTTGCTGATTTTGCCATCCATGTACCAGCTAAGCTCATGGGCCCTCAAGGCCCACATCCTGGCTCTGCCAATAACCAGCATGTGGATATTGGCAAATCACAACTGCTTCTCAGTTTCCCCACCTGTGAAGGGAGTGCGGTGGCAGTGGTGTCTGTCCTGGCTTCTGTGAGCACTGACTGGCCTCACAGTTGCAGCATGTGGAGGTACTGAGCTGATGATGCCAGAACACAGCTGACCAGGGAGGAGCACCCAGGTGTCTACACCTGTCTGTGGGTAGAGTCCTTCTATATTCTCATTATTGTTTTGTCTTTGACTCTGTCATTCTCACGGTTACATTTTGTTTGCTCAGTTGTTGGGGTGCAATGTCCCCACACACTGAAAAGGCCTTCTTTTTTTCTGCGGTTTCTGAACTTTTAAGTGCTGTCATATCTGCTATAGACAGTGCACCTGGTACATTGTTTGCTGCCTCTGTTCTGACCATCTCTATTTTATGGTGCTCTACATATGTGATAGAGGACATTTTGTTGCTTTTAAACCTATCTCAAGCACTCTTTCTGGTTTTTTGTTTTTATTTACTTATTTGTTTTTAAGACTGTCTTGCTATGCAGTTAAGGCTGGCTCTGAGCTCACTTGGAGCCCTGGATGGTCTCAAACTTTCAGCGATCCTCCTGCCTCAGTCTCCCAGGTGCTGGGACCACAGGTGTGCACCACCATGCCCAGCTAGCACTCTTTTTCAATAGGAAAGTTTAGCACACTTATATCTGGAGTAACTACTGTCTCTCTCTTGGATGTGGGGCATCTTGTTCGTATTCTTTCCTTTCCTATTGACTCCTAGATTGGGTTTTGGTTTCTTCTTTTCTCTTTTTCTCATCTAGTAGTTTGGGAATGTTATATCTTTTTTTCAGGTTTTAGACATGATGGGCTGGGACTATAGCTCAGCAGCGTAAGTGTCTGCCTGACAAGCGCAGGTTCCCGAGTTCAGTCCCTGGTACCGCAAAGAAAAAAAGTTTCCTAAATTTCTAGACATGTTTAAACTTATATTTGAAGTCATTTGAAGTTTTATTCCAGATCATTTTTGGTAATTTTTAGTTTCATTTCTCATGTATTTTATTCAAGGAATTACCACTTAATTTTACTGAAGTTTTGACACAGTACTAGCAATTTTTTTTTTTTTTTTTTTTTTTGGTAAACAATTATTTGGATTTAACAAGAAGTTTTTATTTTACTTTTATTTTTGTCGTTATGAGTGAGACAGGGCCTCACTGTGCAGTTGAGGCTGGCCTTGAGCTCACTTTGCAGCCCAGGCTGGTTTTGAACTTGCAATGACCCTCCTGCCTCAGCTTCTTGGGTGCTAGGATTATAGAAATGTGCCTCCATGACTGGCTTTTAATAAGTTTTTAGTTTTTTATATATATATTTTTTTTGAGGCAGGGTTTTAGTGTAGCCCAAGCTGGCCTTGAACTCAGCAGCCCTCCTGCTTCAGCCTGAGTGCTAGGGTTGTAGGCGTGCCCCCACCAACCTAACTAAAAGAAGTTTTAGGGTTTTTGTTTTATTTTTTTCTTTTGTACACTGTTGGATTTGTCCTTTGTCTTCCTCTCTGGTGAATCTGTTCTGCACCCTCCTATCACCTGAGATCAGCACCTGAGTGTAAGTGTTCTCAGTATTTGCGTGTCAGTATGATCTTCACTGTCTTCCTCACATTTGAGTAATTTGGGCAGATGGAGAATTCTAAATTCAAACAGTTTTTCCTTGTAAACTTGCTACATTATTCAGATGAACTGACTAGATTATGTACTTTTAACACTAAATATGAAAAGCAGAAAATGGAAAGCGAGTTGCAGAAGCGCGCCCCACCTGCGTCTCCAGGAAACCTGGTATCTCGGTCTAGATTCTCTGCCAGGTGGGATGGTGTCCACTGGCACCATGCAGAAGCACCCACCACGCTGCTGAGTAGGACGGGCATCCAGTCCTGACCACAGCGAACTGTAGCTGGGCCCCAGCTCTGCAGCAGGTTTATTAGGAAACGAGGAGGCTCCCACTGGGCCTCTACATACGTAGGCTGCGCTTACCCCTCCATCCTCTTCCTGTCTTTGTTTGTTGTTTTTTTGTTTTTTTGAAGCTCTTCCTGTCTTGTCTGAAGAAGTATGGCCACCACCTGACTCCACAGCTTAGCCACTGACCCATAGCTGCTTGTGATCTGAGGGACAAGCTGTGGGTCAGTCTTTCCCTCCTTGAGGGAAACAAGTTTTGTAAATTGCTGAGCAGTACAAAAATATGTCAGGCTGTGGATATAGCTCAGTGGCTCAAGTGCCTGCCTAGCTAGCTGAAGGTCCTGAGTTTGAATCCTGATACCAAACAATTAAAAAAATATATAAAAACCAGGAATATATGACAAGGACTCTGTTTTTCTGTCTTCTGAGCAGAGTGACATGCTGCACCTTCCATAGAAATTCCCCATTTAGATCATCAGTTCCTGTGCTTTACAGCTGAATTGTGTCCCTGCTGCGGTTCCGTCTGTGCTCACTCAGCCCCCAGCTTCACCCTGGCTTCCTGCATCCAGTTTTTCCCCATGGAGTCTCACTCTTTTACCTTTGCTTGGTCAAAAGGTCATCTGGGATTTTGTCTCTCCTATTTTTCAGGCTTGTCAACCTCAGATCCCTCTAGCACCTGGATTTGAGAGTTCAGTTTATTTTCTGAATTTTGCTCAAATCTGTCTGCCAGGAGATGCCTTCCCAGAGTGGCTTCTGCCATCCATACAATGTACCTCTTTGTGTGTTTACCCATCTAGGCTCTGCCAGGCCAGCCTTGCCACTGTTGAGAGGCAGGGTTAGATCCTTTGTGGCAGGAGAGAGGCAGTCAGGGGGCACTGCATAGGCAAAGAAGAAAAGAGAAGTAGAAGCTCGTAGAGCAGGTCTCTCGGAAATGCCAAAGTAGGAGAAGGTAGGGAAGCCCAAGCAGGGCAGACAGTAAGACCAAGAAGCGCTATGGTAGATGAGCTCTCTGTTAACACTGAGTGGGGAGATGCAGCTTGGGGATGAGCTTTCTCAGCACCAACCGATGAAGTGCTGCATGCCTTGGCCCTTCCTGAGTGGCCTCAGGCCTGGGCAGGTATATGGTAGCCTTGAGCAAGTACCGGGAACACTGAATTTGGCATGTATATGAAAGCTACACATGGAACGTGCTGGTACATTGGCAACGTGCAAAGGCCAGGCTTTGCTTGGCTCCTGCCAGGTAAGTGGGAACCCATCTTGCTGGCATTCAGTGTGTAGTAACAAGCCACAAAAACAGTAGTGGTCTTTCTGCAATTCACTGAATTCAGGCAAAATTATACTTCTGAGGTTTTCTGAAGTGCACAGTGGGGCTTCTGAAGGTCAGCCACGTACTCTGCCCAGTACTGTCCCCTGCTCCCTGTGGCTGTGAAACAGGTTCCGTCTTTTCAGTGTTCACCTAGGTTCCAGTGGTGCCACATCTGTTTCTTGGTCACTTCGCCTACAAACCCCCATGTGTGTTTCTTAGTCCACTATTGCATTGTACAGACCTTATCTTAGGGATGTTCTGCCCTGTCACAACTAGCCCCATATGTAAGGTTTAGGGTTAGGATTTGTACCTTCCATCTCTGCTGGGTGTTTTCATTAGTCCTTTGTCTTGAAACCTGCTTTATGTTTAATCTAATTAGACCATCTGTCTTTAGTTCAATATTTGCTTGGTGTTTTGGTTTCTTAAATTTTTGTTGTTCTTTCTTAAACTTTTTAACTAACCAAACCAGAAGTTCTCTATTTTTTAGTACCAGGAATTGAACTCAGGACCTTGCACATAAATTTTCTTTCATCTCTTTTTTGCCTGTAATTCTGATGTGGTTACAGCATGTTTAAATGAAAATGAGCACTTATATATGGAAAAGTCCAAAAGTAATTGAGTGCCCGTGCCCGTGCCCATGCCTGGCCTATGCCAGGGCCCCACTTTCCTTGGTGATCTTGAATCAGCATCTCTCTTTTCAGTCTTTTTTTGTAGTTTCTTATAGGCAGCTTTTTTTTTTTTTTTTTACAATTGTGACCATCATTTAGTTTTTTGTCTGGGCTCTGGGCCACTGCTGTCTGAGCCACTGCCCACCCTGCTGCAAGCCACACAAATTGGATATAATTCTTCAATTTATGTAAATAAAACTTCAATTTATTTTGCCTCCTAAATCTGAGGATTATGAATCTAAGGATTTGTGCCTTTCATTGTTTTGGGGAACTCCTTAATCATTCTTCCCTAAATTTTACCTTTCCCTTCTGTTCCTTGCCTGGGAGCTCCTGTTCTGAGTTTGTTGTGCTTTCAGTCTTTATTCCTTTCTCCGAGCTTTCCTTTGTTCTGTTATCTTAATTGGTACCTTTGTCTGTATGTTATATTTTAAGGGGGAGGGGAGAATACCAGGGGTTGAATCCAGAGTCTTCACACTGACCAACATCACTATTTTTTATTTTGAGGCAAGGTCATACTAAATCACAAAGTTGTTGAAGCCAGGTTCAAACTTGGGACCCCCTTGTCTCAGCCTCCCTGGATACTGAGATTATAGGCATGCACCACCATGCTCCAGTGTCTTTATGTTTCTTATAGTTAATTTTTTTTTCTTTCTTTTTTTTTTTTTTTGGTGGAACCAGGGATTGAACTCAGGCCCTTTTACTTGCCAGGCAAGCGCTTATTGTACTGAGCTATCTCCCCAGCCCCTGGTAATTTTTTCAAATGATCCTTCAGCAATTATCTGTCTATAGCCTAGACTGTGGTTAAGCCATCCAGTGTGTCTTTAGCTTCAATGAATGCTTGTTGCATTTGGTTGTCTCCATGTTTGCTTGTTCTTACATTTTAAAGTCTTCTTTCTCTGCCTCTTCCAACTTTAGACATTTACCTTTCTGTTATTTCATTTATTGATTCATTCGTTGAGTTTTCGGAGCCTATGGGTGCTGCTGTCCAGATCTCAGGGAGGAGGGCTTCTTCAGCAAGCCTGGAATGGGCTTTTTCCCTAAAATAGGTTGCCTATAGGTTTCATTGCCTGGCATCCCTGGCTGTTAAGATTCTAGGCTCACTTTTAGCTAACCTGAGTGTGAATCGAGATGGACATAACTCTGAGCTGTTCATCTGGAACAGAATGCGCCTCCAGAACTCAGCTTTTCTCATGGTTTCTCCTGTGCTAAGGATTCACTTGCCTTCATGCAGTTCTTAATAGAGCAGTGTAGACTGAGACCTTGACAAAGAGCATAGGGCATGCCTCTCTGCTTTCTTCATAAACCTCTTTAGCACATTCATGCCACCCCTGCGATCTCCCTACAGGGGTTGGCCACTCAAGCAGAATGCCAATACCTCAGTGCCAGTAGTGAATACCAAATTCTCAGTTACTGTGTGTTAGAAAACTAGTGGCAAAGTTGTATTGCCCAGAGGGCAGGCAGACACTAAACAGGTTTTAAGAGACCTTGTACCAGATCATTGAAGTACAGTTCTTTCTGCAATGTGAGTAAAGTGGATGTCCAATTTCAAAGAGGCCAGCGCTCTAGAATTGTGGTCAGTGGATGTGTGCAGGTGGGGACCCTGTTTACAGGCTGCTTTCTCCTCCAGGTAAGCATCTGCCTGGAGTGCAACAGCAGCAAACTTCGGGGCCTGAAACGGAAGTGGATCCGCTGCTCAGCCCAGGCCACAGTGCTGCACCTGAAGAAATTCATTGCCAAGAAGCTAAACCTTTCCTCCTTCAATGAGGTAACCTTGCACTATGAACATAAATAATCATGAATTGTTCATTTGTGAGAACATTCTTAAAATTATTTGAGATTTGTAACAACTTCGGAGATTTTTTTTTCTTTTCATTTTTTAAATTTTTAGTTTAGGTTTTTTTGTCTTTGTTTCTGTTTTTTTGTTTTAATGTACTCTGTGCAAGGTCTCACTGTGCAGCTAGGACTCATGGTGACCCTCCTGTTTTCAAACTTCCCAGCGCTGGGTTTACAGGCATGTGCCACCATGCCTGGACTCAGTCACCAGCTCAGCGCACCTGGCAACTGGGCCGGCTCGGCATACGTACCAGGGATGGAACCACGGTCCCTGTGCTTACCTAAGCAGGTGCTTAGTCTGCTGAGCTATCTCTCCAACCTTTTGATTTGATTTTTGAGACAGGATCTCACTGAGTTGCCAAAGTTGGGCTCAGACCTGCAGTCTCCCTGCCACAGTCTCCCAGAGTGCTGGGATTGCAAGCATGTACCACCACACCTGGCTTGTATCTTTGACAATTTTAATCAGGAAAAAGTCCCTTGGGTGTTTTTTTTTTTTTTTTTTTCTTCTATCCTTCAAGGTAATACAGTAGGAAACAGCAATAATGATTAATAATCCCAGAGAACAGATTACTTTAGAACTGGTTGAAGGTTTTCATCTTGAGGAATTCTGTTCTTTAGTTCCATGATTGGGTAGGTAGGTGGATATGATATGTTGCAGTTTTGATCAGTTACCTAAAATACTGTGGCTGGTGGCAGAGAGTTGTTACCAAGTATAGATCCCTATCACCCTTTGTAGATGGATGTGCCTTTGGAGAAGGGGCCTTTGCAGGTATAATGAAAGTAAGGATCTTGAGAAATAATCCTGAGTTTTTTCCCGAACCCTAAATCTGATGAGTCCCTTATAGGCATGAGGCTAAAGATTGGAGCAACATAGCAGCAGCCACCTCCAGGAAGGCAGGAGGGGTCTTCTCTGTCTGAATGTGTCTTCCAGATGCCCATGTCAGAAACATTGCCACAGTGCAGTGTGCTAGGAGGTGGGGCCTCGGGAAGATGGACCAGCAAGGTCCTGAGCCCTGAGGAATGAGGTCTGGAGCCATGTAGAATGCTTGGCTGCGGGTATCATCTTCCACTCTTCTCTGCCATGCCCCCCCAGATGCCCGTGCCATGACCTGGGCGTCAGCCTCTGCTCTGTGAGAAATGAACTTTGCTCTTTGTCAGTGCCTCAGCCTTTGCTGCTCTGTTACAGCTGTAGACTTGAGGCACCCCAGAACCCCTGGGAGCGTGGCCCTGCCATACCTGGCTCAGAATTCAGGGCTTTGGAAACATCAGGGCTAGGACCCAGGGCTCCTTGAGGCCATCAAGGGGCTAGACCCCACCTTCCCTGTCCTACCATGTGGAGCCCACTTTGTAAACAAAATCCAGATGTGGGAAGAAGAGAGAAGGAAACAGAAGGTGTCCCTTAGTTGGTGCTGTTCTGTGTTCTTTATGGAGAAGCAGACACAGATGGGTAGCTAGGTAGTTAACTAATGGTCAACTTGTAACACCCAGCTGAACTGAATTAGCATAGATTTGGGATGGAAAGTCCACCTGAAGATTGTTGCCAACAGTAAAAAAGGAGAAGTATAGCAGAAGATGGTGTGTTGTCAGGTCTCCTGAAGAAACTTGTCACACTATATGAGCTCAGCTGTTCTCATCATTGGAGGAGCTTGGGTCCTTGCTGTCACTGAGGATGGCTATGGGTCCCTTCAGGGGAGCGCTGGTCCTTACTTTGAGCATTGCTTCCTGACTCCAGGGCAGATCCTTCAGCCTGCTGTCACAGATCCTTTATCCCACTGATGCAGACTTTCTAGCTCCCACGACTGACCAAATGTAGATCTTTGATTGAGACTTTCATGAGACATTGTTGTGGGTTCTGTGCCTCCAGCTGGGCTTATGGAGGACATTGTGGGCTCCAATTCTTTAGCCGGACTTATGCCGCACATTGCTGTGGGATCCAGACCTCAGCTGGATTCCTTGGGTATCTAGTGTGTGTGCAGATCTCCCACCCTCTTGGATTTGACTCTTTGGGTAACTATTATAAAATAATCCTATAAATTGTGTGTCCTATATTAAATCTTTTCTCTTGTAAACCCTTAATATAACAACCTGGAAAGAGCAGGTGCTTTGAGCTCCTATGGAAGGAAAGGTCCTAAGTTTGTTGGAAGGAAAGAGGGCCCAGGGAGAGGCCGAGTTCCAGGAACAGGGCTGTGTCCTCTTGGAACATCAGGCAGGGAGGGTGAAGTATATCTGCTACAGGTGGTGATCAGTCTTAAGGATGTCACATTGGGCTCAGGCGAGCACCATCTCCACAAACACTGGCAAGATGGTCCCCTGAGCTCCCCTCCATGAGGGAGGACACCACGGCTTGCCAGGGGCAGCAGCCACCTGTGATGCTCAGCCCAGTGTGTAGCATAGCAGTGCTGCACCTACCAGGACGTGGCCGAATGGCCACCCAGGCACCCAGAGGCAACTTTGTCCCCCACTGAAGGAGATACTCGAGAGGCCATCTGGGTCACCATCCTGTACACTCACTCAGACAAATAGATGGAGCAGACAGTGAGATAGCACTGGTACTGGCTAGACCTCCAGGCCTAAGCACTGGCACTGGTGAGGTGAGACCAGCACACAGAGCTATATGGAGATGGAATTGGTGTGTGCTCTGGATGCCTACTGAGTAGCTTGTTAGATCAAACAGGCCACATGCTAATGTCAGTCCCTGCCTGGACAGAGGAGCCCTGGGATGTGGATGGTGGGCCTGGCCAGCAGGGTGAGTAGAGCTGGGCCTGCTGTTCCATTAGGTGTAAACCTAAAAGTGCTCTAAAAATAGTTTGCTAGATAAGAATAACACTGGATACCCATTTCTTTCCTCTGCTTCAGTAAGAGGACAAGGGCCAGGAGGGGACATATAGGACACAGGGTACCCTTGGTGAGAGCCTGGCAGCATGGCCCTGTGGGATAGGCTGGTGGGTGAATGACTGCTCCTGCTTATTCTGGGCTACCTTGGTACCATCATGTGCATAGAGGCAGGGACAAGGATGACTCCTGGCTTGGCAGAGGTACAGTGGGGACCTCTGCAGAAGTGGGCAGCCTCCTCAGAAGCAGTGAGCTGACCAGGGACTCGGGTTTGTGTAGTTTTAGGGCACAAAGGGCAGGGCTAGGTACCTAGATCTCACCACACATGTGGAGCAGCTAGGCCAGGTCATATGCCTGTGACCTGGTGGGAGGGATGACCCTTGCAGGAACACTTCTGATAGGTAATATGGTCAGGTGCCCATTAGCGATGACATGGCAGGGGTGTAAACGAATAAGCTACCAGACTCCTCTGATAAGAGCTCTTCCATGAGTGCCTGGGGAACAATATGCTTCAAAAACGTGGGCACTTTGTTCTTCACATAGCCCTCGTTGGCACCCGTCGCACTGTGGGCCAAGCATGTCCCTAACTGTAGCTCCTTTCCCCTAGTTGGACATCTTATGCAATGAGGAAATCCTGGGCAAGGACCACACCCTCAAGTTTGTGGTGGTCACACGGTGGAGATTCAAGGTGAGCTGCTTATTTTGCCATTTGTTTTGCCTGGTTTTCAGACTGCTGGGAGGCACTGCTCTGCATGTATGACCACAGGGGTTGCTGGGAAACACTTAACTTTCTGAAATCTTCCACCTCAGCCAGGTGTCCTTGGCACAGGGTCCTCACCCCTATCTGGCCCACAGGGCAGATGTCGGGGGTAAGGGGCAGTGACCATTGCCATCAGAGCCAACACTTGAGCCTTCGGGTGCCTTTCTGAGGTGGGAAGCCCATGGTGGAGTCGTCATCTAGGCACTGCTCCCAGCCAGTGGGGCAGTGGGATGGTGGATGGCCAAGCAGACACATCCCAGATGACTGAGGCCCAGGCTAGCCCGGGGCCCAGGATGACCAAGACCAAGGCTGATGGGGCTGGGATGAGCCACACCAATGCCAGAGGACATGGGGTCCAGAGCAGAGCTGGTGCTGGGGGTGGGAGGAAAAGGTGGTGGAGCTCGTGGTTCACAGCCTGGCACGGGAACTAATCATTACGTAGTGTCTGTCCATGGTCCCGGACAACCCAGGGCTCCTGCAGCTGTACATTACCCAGGACAGGTGTGACCATGCACTGCTCTAAACATGCATGTGGGCTCGGCATCTGCCCACTGCCCCTGAGGCCCTGTGTCCTTGTCTTGCAGAAGGCCCCCCTCCTGCTGCACTACAGACCCAAGATGGACTTGCTGTGAGCCTGCATTGCAGACTCTGGCCTGCACCCGGCTGCACTTGGCTGTGCACAGTGACTGCGCCGTAAAATGTTGCCTCTGGGTGCCATGCGGACCAGATTTCTGAATAGAGAATATTTATAACTTTTGTATAAAAGAATCCACACCCAACAAGACACTACCAGCACGCGTTTACAGAGGATGAAAACACTTCGCAGTTTCATGGAGCTGAACGTGCCCATCTCTGCCTCTGGCCCATAGGCAGAGGAATGAGTGCCTGCAATAGGCATCCACACCACCCTCCGGCACAGATTGCCCTTGCTTGCTTTCCAGGTCTTGAGAGTCAGAGTTCATTTCAGTTTAATTCCTGGATTAGGTTTCACGATAAGCCTCAAAAATACTTCTACTTTTATTGAGTCCTTCCTAAGTTATTGAAACATGTCTTATGGTAAATGATATTTATGTTGCCTTTAGCTTCTTGAAGACTTAGAAGATATATAAAAATTTAATTTAAAAGCATACCAAAAGAGGCTTGCATAGTACCATGATCCAGCCACGGTGCTTGAGTTCCCATTTGCACGGCACCACCCAGCCCCAGCCTGGGCCTCCGGTACCCCCAGGCTTCCCAGCTCAGTTCAGGCACACTCAGCAGGGTAGACCAGAGGTGTTTTCGCCAGTTAAGTGTTGGCTGGCAGAACAGTTCTTATTTTTCAAAATTGCTTTTATTAAAATGGGCACAAGTTGTTTGGTGCCGTTATTTAATTTTTTACTTTTTCTTTCCCTTTTTTTGCGGTGGCAAGAGTGATGGTGGTGTTTGTTTTTGGTGCTTATCAGATAAGTACAGCCTGTAGGGAGACCACTTCCACACTTGGGGGGGGGGGTAGGATTGAAGCCTCCCATGAGGAGAGATACCCTGCTTTGTGGCCCTCCACAGAAGGTAGCTTTTGAGCCAAGCAACTGGGCCCAGCTCTGACCAGACAAAGTTGCTTTTTTGGTCACAGGCAAAATCGATCCCTCTCAAATGTGAGATGTTTTTATCAAAGAGAATAAGCTCTGCCAGTGCAGACACATTGTTCCCTCAAGCCTGAGATGTGGGCCTGCAAGGGCTGGGCTGCTTTCCACAGCAGCTGCAGTGCTCCCCAGAGCCCCCTTCCCTCCATGGCCTCTCTGATGAGCAGGACCAAAGCTGGTTATTGGTCTGGGCCACCACCTCCAGCTCTTGCTGGGTAATGAGGGTCTTGGTGTATGTGAGGGCCAGGTTTTAGTGAGTCTCCCTTAGTGACTGGAACTTTTTCTTGGATTTACTTTGAAAGCTGTGTTTGGGCTTGTCAACATCCAGTTCCATTTGTTTTCTTCTGCTTCCTGTTTCCCATACACAAAATGTCAGAAGCAGTGGCCAGTGAGACCTAAGGTCCATGATGAGGAAACATCCGTTAGCTTATCCAGGCAACCTTTTCTGCGAGGCCTTTCTAAAACACAGACACAAGCCTTGGTTAGAAATTGGTCAAAGCTCACCTCTTTGTTCAAGCCCAGGACTGTGTGGATTATTCTGTTTCCTGAGCTGGCTATTCATCCAAATCGTTTCTAGAGTTACTACACAAGGGTTTATGAGTAAATATTACCTGTCTACCTCAAACCACATGTACTGCTGAAGCATTCTGTAAAACCACATTATCACAATGCAGTTTTAAGTGTAACATTAGAATTTAGGTATTTTCCTGTGTGGTGAAACTAAAGAAGGATTAAACAGTTTGAGCCTCCAAATTCAAATAAAGTTAATTCACCGTTAGATCAAACTTAATATTGCTGTATAATCTCACATTTGTAACTTTGTAGCTACCTTTGGAGTCACTTGACTTGCTATGGTGCTAAGCTGATAGATTTCATTGTGCAGCAAGGTGGGCTGTCGTGTCCAGCCCAATTTCTGGCCAGGCACCAGGTGCCGCCCACCCCGAGCAACCCAGCTTCTGTCACCTTACCCTGAGCAAACCTCAGCAGCAAAAGTACCTATTTTTCTAAGATTCCACCATGCAGCTGTCTTCACTGCAGGACCGTCCTGGCGCCCTCTGCCCTGTGGTCTGACTTGTAGCCTTACCTAGTTCAGAGCCGAGAGTGGAGGAACCTGCATCAGTGGACGCTCTGGGTGGTCCGTTTCATTCTGTCAAGCTCTCATTTGACATCAAAAGCTGAATTTTACTTTTTCCAGCATGAACACCAGGATCAGTTAGCAATTGGTCCTGTTAAGTTTTCTTAGCGGATGGAATTGCTGTGAAGTTGTTTTCACCACTGTTGTGCTGGTAAAGCGAAGGCTGTCAGATGGGCCCTGCACACCCCTGGCAGCAGCGGGGCTGGCCTGTCCCGCACGTGGTCTTGCTGGACACCGTTTTCACAAAAATAGAAAACTCAGATAGAATATATAATATTGAATTTAAGATTTGGGGGGTTAAAAAAGAAAACTTTATAAAATTATTTATTCTATTTTAAGCCTTCTATCATATATTCCCATCCAGTTGTTTGGTTTTGGTGGTCCAGCTTTATTTACAGGCATATAAGATGAAATTGTAAGATATTTTGCAAGCTTCTTTTACTTTGAGTAGGCTTTAATTCATATGTTTTTATAGGGATGAAGAGCATTTTTATGCTTTTGTGCAATAGATTCCAACATGCATTATTAGATGTGTTTAAATTGTGATGTAGCATTGATTCTGCTAAACAGAAAGGGAATATAAGAATTTCAAAATATGTGCATTTGCCTATTTTGGCTTTTCTTTTTCATTGTTGCTGTACAATGCTGTTACTGGGATTGTTTGCGTGAGTGTGTGTGTGTGTGTGTGTGAGAGAGAGAGAGAGAGAGAGAGAGAGAGAGTGTGTGTGTGTGTGTGTGTGTGTGTGTGTGTGTGTGTGTGTATGTGAATACCTGCCAGCAATATTGAAGAACAGTTGCCACCACAGCCCATGGGTCCTAGGCCCGCTGCTGGAATCGGGTGGCCTCAGCCTGCAGACCTGGCGGTGCTGCCTTCTTGGCCTGCCAGCCCCTGAGGCCTGTGCCTGGTGTTCAGTGTCTTTGGAGAGTCTTTAGTTTTACCTCTAGAGGCGTGCAGTGTGGCATTTCACAGTGATCTGAAATGTGTCCTCGATTGAATGACCTAGGAATGAGCCAGCTGATTTCTACATTGTACGTAAATACTTTGTGTGCTCTCAAAACATTCAAAATAAATTTAGTGCAGACAGCTAAATCACAAAAGAATCCAATTTATCTGTTTCCTCAGGAAATCATATACGCTCCAGCACATCACATGTGACCTTAACATGAAAGCAAATGTGTTTCTCTGCCTTGGTACTTAGATACATAAGGAAGTAACTGGGATAAGTAGAGCAGAAAATCATCGTTTAAATTATAATCTTTACACAGATTGTGCCCCTCTGGGAACGGCTGAGGGGAGCCTCAGCCACCTCTGTATGTCCCTGTCCCACCCGTGAGTGCACTGAAGAGTGGGCTGAGGCATGTGTCCCTGCAATGCGTGCAGCATTGGTGTGAGCGTCCTCCATGCCAGTAACTCAGATGGGTATTGGAGACACGTTTTTCCCAAATGACAGTGACGTAGGTCAGGGACAGTAGCTCAGCCTGAGCCTTCACCCATGGCACGTGGAAGCTAATGAAAGCTATCACGGTGTATGGAAATGATAATGCAGATACATATTTTTGACTGTTTAATTTGAAAGTTTACATTTTTTATGCTTTGTGTTGGTGTGTAATTTTTGTACCATCGGTGGCTAGTTTTTTGTCTAAAATCTTTTTTGAAATATTGCTTAATGTTTTGATTTCATGATAGTGAAGCTTGTATTCAGTGTTTTGCCAATTAATATTATATGCTTGTAATAAAAGCAGAAGAAAAAAAACTCCCAGCCTGGAAATTTATTATATAAGATATTTGTAAGAGTATAAGATGTGATTTGTTATGGAATTGTCAGCCCTCTGTGTTCATGTATTCCAAATTCACAGATCCAGCAAACCATGTACCTAAAATATTCAGGGAAAAAACTACATCTGAAATGAAAACAGAGATTTCTTTCTCATTTCCTAAAGTAGAATATAACAGCTTTTTATGTGGCATTCAATTATATTAGGTATTTCAAGTCATCTAGATGTAACTTGTCGGCAGGAGAACGTGAATAAGTTAGCAGGAGGTCCCTCACCACTTTATGCAGGGACTTATTATTCGCTAGGGTTCTGGAATGAGCCCATAGATGCACAGCATCCTTGTAAGTGTTGTGAAAATGCTGTGGGTATGGGCACGTCTCGCCCCTGAGCCTTCCCTGCACCAAGGAGCAACACTTAACAGTGTAGCAGCCCCCCACATATGCACAGTTCCCTCCCTCCCGTTGCATGTGTGTCTCTCCGGAGCTCGTGGCTACCTACCACCTCCTCGTTCCAGGCCTGTCAGGATATGGAGGACCAGACGTCTGTAGCCCCCTGTGATGCCAACTGCTGTACACAAGTGTAAACTGCTCTCCCCCTCCTGTGGGCATTGCTAAGACTGACCGCTGTGTACCAGTGCAGGCTGTGTCCACCCACACCCAGCACACAGCTGAGGAAGCCACTGGCAGAGAAAGTGGCATCTGTAAGGCCGGGTTCCACCATTCTGGGTTCTACCCTTCTGCTTCCCACTCGCCTCTTGACGCGGCCTATGCATACTGGGCCCTGCTTGCCCCGTGTTTCGGTCTGTGATGGCCTCTGGCATTGCTCTTCGTATTCCCAGTAGGCTGTTCTCAGATGTCTTATCTTGTGTGTGGTAGATTAGTTTTTTCTATGCCATGTTTTGGGACTGGCTCCAGGAATCCTTGCCAGGACTGAAGTCTCGGTGTCTCAGGGCACTTGCACTGAGGAATTCTGCTCATGACCTTTCTTGCAGCATTTGGCAGGGTTGTACACACGGAATTGGTGGCCTTGAGAGCAGGGACCGCCTGGGGCATAAGCATTATCTTGGGAAAACCTGTCTGCGTACCCAAAAGGGACAGACTTGTCTTATAGCTGGGATGGGGTTCTAAGACTCCTCTAGGCCAGGCCTGGCATAGTACAGGGAGCCCAGCGGCTTGCTATCTTTGTGTAGCTCTGCATTTCTTGGCCCTTACTGGCTGACACTCCCTCTCCTCTAGCTACATGGAGATGGGGTCTCAGGCCACTTGAGATCTCTTGAGTCACAGCAGCCCCCAGGTGATCACCTAAATGGCCCTTTTTTAGGACACTAGGTGTCCCAATATAGCTAGCCAGGATGTGTCCTCACCACAGCATGTTGCATAAGCCAGTGACAGATGGCTCAACTGGTCACAGGTGAAAGATGCTATCACTGGGGTGAGGGAAGGCTGGTGCCCCACTAACTCTGGCCACATCCTTGCCACTGTCTGGCAGGCAGTAGTCGTATTTCAGACTAATCCAAAACACCTGCTCCTAGACTACCTGGTGTCTCCCATAAGTCTGCCCAGCAAAGAGATGGTGACTCGGACAGGAGCACAGCCTTGTGCTCCAGCAGCTGTGGGCCTCCCCCACTGGCAGATCATCGCCTAGCCTACCATTATTACTAAAGCCGCTCAATGGCTCACGTGTATCAAGAAAGAAGAGCACCCTCCATTTAAGTCAGGGCACAGCAAGTATAGATGAAGCCAGAGATGGCAAAAAGCCCCTCCTGCCAACAGCGTGCAGTGGTCTGGTGGTAGGCAGGGTGCCCTCTTCCTCTTCACAGAGGGACCTGGTGCTTCATGAGCCTTTTCCACCCCACCATGCACAGCCTTGGTCCCGTGAAAGGGCCTTTCTCACTGAACACCAGGTCCTTTCTCCTGAGGAGTGACAACTACAGGATTTCCTTGAGCACAGGGGTTGCAGCATTCTGACACGGGAAGCGGCTTTGTGTGCTGGCCTCACAGGTGACAAAGGGACAGGAGAGGTTTGTGCTGGGGGTGGGGTTAGTTCTTTTCTAGGGTTGAAGATCAGGATGATCGCTGAGGTCAGGTGCTGCTGAGGACCTGTGCTAGATGTCTGTCTCTAGCGACTGCTAGCTGCTTCACATGGAGTAGCCTTCCAGACAAGGTACTTGATGCAGCAGAGACAGGACAGCTGGGAGGGGCCAGGGTAGCAGGACAGGGGATAAGGATGCAAAGGCATGTGTCATGGTGTTGCATGTAATGACATGGGGACTGAACTCCTGCCATCTTCCTTGGACTTCGTGTCTGCTTCCTTCTCCATTTCAGTGCCCTGTACACAAGTTACCTTTCCTTCATTCCATTTATTATTTTGTCAGTTTTTGAGCTAGACATACATATTTAAATCCTGATATTTAAGTGGCTACTCTTCAGATTTTAAGTCAAATTATAATTTACACTAAAAATACAGTAACAGCAAAATAAAAACACAATAGTTCATTTTGATTTCTTCTCTGTCCCATGGATAACATGGAAGCTTAATTTCAAAATATAAGGGGATTTTCTGATCATCTCCCTTGTTGATCTCTAGATCAGATGTCCCAAGGCAATAACAGGTCCCATCTTATTCTAATCCTGAGGGGCTTTTTTTTGTTTGTTTGTTTTTGTTTTTGTTTTGAGACAGCATCTCTCTGTGAGTTTGGAATGGCCTTGTGCTCACTTTGTAGCCCCCAGGCTGGTCTCGCAGTAATCCTCCTATCTCAACCTCCAAAGTATTGGGATTATAGGTATGGGCCACCACACCTAGTTCCCAGGCCAGCACATAGTTCCAGGGCTGGCAGTCAAACTCTGGTCCTTGTGCTTGCCAGGTAGCTGCTTATGCCTCTGAGCTATCTTCCAGCCCCTAATCCTGAGTTGTATAGGGACTCCTTCATGACCCAACACAGTTGACTTTTGTGAATATTTGTAGGGATCTGTTGATCTCTCAGTGTGACCCATTGTACCCCAGGGAGAAATGGCAGCAGTATTGAGGAAAAGATAGATAAGAAGACAAGAGCTGGGTTAGGTGGTGGCTCATCTGCCTGGTTGGCACAACAACCCCCAGACCAACAGTACAGGCCTTTATTTATACCTTTACAAAGTTGCAAGACACAAGGTTGCCCGGTGACTAGTAGCCCATAGTGTCAGGCAGAATGCTTTTCTCAAGACTGAGGTAACCTGACTGTTTTAGGCAATGAGGTATCATCCTGCCCTCCCACATACGATCAAGTTCAACTTCAGTGGCTCCCAACAAATATTCACATGGACTTGAAAATAATGTGTATCTTGCAGTTGGGTGAAGAATTCTATTGGCCAGGCATGGTGGCACATGCTTGTAATCCAAACACTTGAGAGGCTAAACCAGGAGGATGATCACAAGTTCAAGGCCAACCTGGACTACACAGCAAGACCCAGTCTCATGAAAAGAAAAATGAAATGAATCCTGTGTCCAGTACACCAAGTTTGCTCATTATTCTCTTGGAGACAAGAAGCACAATTTTCCATTTCTTTTCCTGGTTTTCAGCCTGTTCGTTCTATTCACATCGAAGAGCTATGTTAACGCTTTCAGTTTAACATCTTCTTGGTCACACTCTGTTCCACTGAGAACGCTGGTTCTGTATTGGGTTAGTTCCCATTCTGCTCTGCGCTCCAGTTATTTTTCTCCTAGTCTGTTTGCACTCAGTAATCACTTGTTTGCTTATTTCTCCATAGAGTGGCTCCTTAGTGTCTTGCTGGTTCTTTCCATCCTGCTCTGTTCAAAATGGGATTTTCACTTCATTACAGTGAAATGAATTTTGACTCTTCTTTCCACCAAACTTGTCTCCCTGTAACCTTTCCTACCTTGTCCTGTTGGAGGAGGAGGAATTCCTAAGGAAGCCCCAACTTTCCATCCTGTGTGAC